TCAAAAGACCTCATTATAATAAATTCTATTTATTTTAGTTACTAAATTGTCCTTATTTTTTAAAAGTATACATTAATAATCGAAAGTGCAGTAGTTAACAACTCAAGATATAACGCTTAACAACTGTCTAAATTTATTTATTTATTTTATAAATTAACCTTCAGAAAATTATTTCATAAAAGATCAAATATGTAATGCAATGTTCAACTGTTAATCTAATTATTAAAAAAAAAGGAGAAGATGAGAAAAGAGAATGAGAAGAAAAGAGAGAATTCTCCCCCTCTTAATGAAGGCATCAACCGTGAGATGCAAAAAGCATGAGATAAAATTGTGATGAAATTAGCTGGATTAAAAAAGGGTCAAACAGGCTAAAAAGGTATAGTATCAATATTGAGATGTGAATTAGATTATAGGAATGTTTAAATAAAAACAAAATCATGACTTTAAAAGTTTTTACGGTATACAAAATAAACATGTGAATAAGTTTATTTCAATTTAAAAAAAAAACTTTTAAAAAATATTTATAGAATTACCACACACTCTTTATATAAGACAATAGGGGGTCACATATATATGAATTGAGTCAGAAAATTTGGATGTGATGGGGAATATTACAAAGTAATTACAACTTACAAGTGATAGAATCGAGGCCAAGGGATAAGGGGTGAGAGTGCACGAGAAGGAATATGACTTCCGTGCCACGTTGGTGACAGCTACGGTATGGGATGTGAAGGGGACAAATTAAAAGTAGAAAACCTGAAAGACGGCCAACCTCTTTTGGTCTCTTATTTTCTTAAATTCTTCAATCTTCTTCGCATTGCCTTCTCTTTCGCCGCTCTTCACAAAACCTTCCAAATTGACCTCCCTCTCCTTCAAGTTTCATGCCCTCCCAAACTTCCCACCATTAATACTACCTACCATTCTTAATATAAGTTGTTTAATTTTTATTTTAATTATAAATATAAGATTTTAATTCATTTCGTTTTTTATATATATTTTTAGAATAGTCCTTCTAATAATGATAGTTCTAATCAATACACTTGATTAACAAATATATTTTAAAAAAGACAATATCTATATTATAAATAATTAACTTAATTTATTTTCTTAATCTCTTCAAATTAATGAACTAGTTTATATATTAGAAAGAGAGATAATATACCATTTTCATAATTTTCAATCCCATTTATGTTGAACCAGCATTAATTCTTATACGTTGCATGTTCGATCAAAGAATTAACAAACAAATCTTGACAGGTCCAAAACCATCCATTTCATAATATCAAAAATCGTACGAAGTTTCATTTACTGTGTGGGTGTCTACGTATATATACGTATATCAAAACAACAAACCACGCAAGCATTACAAATTTCAGCAACAAAAATTCCAATTTGACACTTAATTGAAATTCTAATAAACTTGTAAAAATCGGGTTAAGATACATCTAACATCTCAGAATATTTTTTCAAATACATCCGGTAGCTTAAAATATTTTTTAAGTGTGTCCAATAACGTGAAGTACCTTTTTATGCATTTAGCACCTCCAAATAATTTTTGTAAGTGCGTCTAGCACAAAAAAAAATCTGTACATTCAGTACCAGGACAACAAATATTTTATCATACTAAATGTATCTAAAAAATACTTTAGGATATCGGATGCAATTCAAAATACTTCAAAGACGTTGAATCTACTTTAATCATTTTTTTTTCAAAAAGTTTGCATGATAATATATTACACTGACTCACTGAGGGCCAATGTCAATCATCATTCAACTAATTAACCGCCTCGGTGTTTTTTTTTTTCTTTGCACTTTTCTTCTTTAATTGTAGAGGTGAGCACTGACAATTTGACGATACAGGAGGAATGATATTTGTGACCTTTTGTTTATAGAGAAGTTTTCGTGTCACCAGACTGTAAAGTTCGTGTTTTACAATCAATGTTTTCCCTTGCCCATTAATGGCTTAATCCATTGTCTCCAACAAGTGTCATAACTCACCTAGAAATCAAATTGTTTTTAGTATATTAAGAAAATATGTTATTTGGAGTAAAATTAGCTATTATTCTTTTATATATACTCCTTCTGGTTCTATTTATAAACTTTAATTTGAGAATGAGTTTGGTCTATTTTATAAGTTTTAATTTAAATTTGTCTTAATATTTAATGGATTTTTTAATGTTACCGTTAATTATTTTATCTTATCATATTTTTTCACACATTATCTTTCATATTTTTTTATTTATTATAAGAGCATATTTAAAAATAAAAATATATTTTTAACTTATTTATTATTTTTAATTAATTTTAACTAATTATTTGTTATCAATAAATTAATATTTGAAAATTATAATAAAAAAAGATGGAATATATTGTTAAAGAATTTGTCTTAAAACATTCTTGGATTAATGTCGAGTTAATCCAGAAGGTCTTAACTAAGGGTGTGTTTGGATGAAACCAAATCGTAGTTTGGAAAAGTGATTCTGGAGAATAGATTCTGGAAAGAATAAATGAGAGTGTTTGGATAGTTGTTATCAGAAAAATTTTTATATGTACAAATTTTACTAAAAAAATGTATAAGTTAATATGATAATTACATAAAAGATAGATTTATAATAATTTTAATTTGAAAAAATAAAATTGTTAATAATATATTTTTTACCAAACATAATTAATAATATATAAAATAATAATTAATATGTATATATATTTATAAAATATAAGATTAAATATGTTTATAAAAAAATAATGAGGAATGTTAAATCATATTATCGTTGAGATCTACTTTACAGGTACAATCATCATTCTTCTCCATTTTGAGCCAAGAAGCAGAATGAATTCACTTCTTCTGAAAACCATGGTTTTGAGCTCCCAAACCATGGTTTCTGTTTTTTTCTGGGTGTTTGGCAAGTCTGAGACCCAAACCATGGTTTTATGTGTATCCAAACAGAGCCTTAGGGCCTGTTTGGGTATCCCCAAACCGTGGTTCAGAAGCATTTTCCGCAAAACGAGATAATCTCCTCCACATATTACTTCGTAATCCGTAAAAGCATTCTGAAACCATGGTTTGGTTTCATCCAAACACACATGTGATGAAAAAGTGATTTTGAGAAGTGAGAGTGTTTGGATAGTTGTTATCAGAAGCACTTTTTATATATACAAATTACTAAAAAAAGACATAAGTTAATATGATAATTATAGAAAAAATAGATTTTATGATATATTTTAATTTGAATGAAAAAATTGTAATAATATATTTTTTATTTTTTTAACATAATTAATAATACATAAGATAATATAATAATAAATAATTAATATGTATAGGATATTTTAAAATATAAAATTAAATATGTTTATAAAAAAAATAACAGATACATATCCTATAAGCTCTCATACTCTTCTTTTTTTTTCCAAAACCATAGTTTTGGAGCCAAAACTACGGTTGCTCAAAATCAGTAGGTGTTTGGGTGACTTATCACTCAAACCATGATTTGGGGGTATCACTCAAACGGGATCTAAATTAGATGCGGGAGAATACGGGGCTGAAGCATGTCTCCATCCATCGCTACGGTCTCTTATTTTCTTCATGCACTTTCCTAAATTCCATCATTGCATTGCCACATCAATTTGGGAGTGATCTTCGAAGGTCTTTTCAGCGTCGATAGCTCCAAATCAGTCTTCGGATTATTGGATGTTTTGATCAGCTTTTATTCGCAAGCAGGTCATCTCACACCGCAAAATTGCAAGGCCTCCTTTACTTCACCCAACAAGTTAATAACCAATAATAATAAAATAATTAATAAATTATGAAATACAGAAGCCTTCATCCAATTATGAGGGCGAGTATACTTCAAGTTCAGTGGTCTTCTTTAAAATAGCTGACACGAGCCATGACAATCATAAACCCCAGCACGTGATTACCTTAGGGAATCTGGCGGCTCTGCAACAATTACAGTTGTGCAATCTCCCGAACTCAAATTTCTCGATCACGCGCGGCCCTGGCACGTAAACAACACCCAGTATCCATCGTGGCGGGATAATACTAGGTTAATTAACACCATCAAATCGTGAATAGTGAAGTTTTTCCCCGCAACAGGAATGGAATTTCAACAAAATAAAATGATTTTAAAAAAATTCATAATAGTCGGCCAAATCCATTCATGTTTTATATATTGATATTAGCTAATACTTCTCCGATTCTCAATAAAAGATTTAATTATTAGTTATTTATTTTAAATATAAGGTTTATTTCTCATATTTATCAATTTTTTCTAAATAATTTATAGATAACTCTCTCAATTATAATCAAATAAAAGAGGGAGGAGAAGAAGATATAAGAAAAATATTATTTTGGTATTTTAGAAAAAAAATGTCATATTTTCTATAATTAATTATTTACCTAACTTTTTTAATCTAATCAAATTAGTTAAATATGTCTTATATAAAATATTGGAAGAGTAGTAATTGAATGCTATTAGTGAAATGCAATTAACTAGTTTATTTGGAAAGGGAAACTTCAATGCCGATGGATAACTCGCTCTCAGAATTTCCGGCGTCATATATTCGACCAGCTACCACCTTCTCCTATTTAATCAGTAATCAATCATGCAGCCATAATCACTGTTTGCTTAAATAGCAACCTTTTTGTCAGCCAAAGAAAGTTCAACTTAGAAGAGGAAAATTTTAATTTCTCGTCAGGGAATATATTGTAACATGCTGAATGATTGTTCCGATGTTGCAACTTGCAAGTCAGAAAAAGTTGGGAATCATTTCAAAGTTTCAAATCTGACAATAAAAAAACGGTTTACTGACGTGCAAGCAATGAAGAAGATGAGACGAAGGGGATAGCTTTGAAAGTTGGGACTGTACGCGTCGGCAAGGAGCGTGGCATGGTGCTTTCACCGTTTACTGTAGACCATTACGAAGGAGATATGTATGACTCGCACTCTTCTTTTTTATAAATGTTTATAGAGCTATTAAGTTCAGAAGAGAGAAAGAACCAGTGGCTATACAGAGAGGGGAAAAAAGGAGAAAGAAAGATTCACTCTTTCAGAGAATTTCCTAAGTGTGTTTGCCTTTACGTATTTTCCAGCCTCTTCCAAAGGCTAGGGTTTTATAGAATATAGTATGTAAAACTTCAGTGGTGATGGCTTTTCCTTTTGCTTGCTTTCCCCGCTCCCCTGCTATTTTTTTATTTCATTTGATTCTTAACCATTAAGTTTATTTGTTGAGCTCCAATTCGGGTTTTTGCTTGTGGAGCGTGTACTGAATTTTTTCTCTTGCTTTATTTTCTTTCATTTTTCCAGCATTTGCCGAAATTTTCAGCTCCTCACTTCCTCTGCGAGTTCATTTTGATCTTGGATTGCGTCCTCACTCTTCAGTCATGTATGAGATTTTCGCGTTAGTTAGTTTTTTCTTTGTGTGTGTGTGTGTGTAACTGTTGATAATTATGGGCTTCTTCCGTTTTTAGTCCTTTTACTGCAATTTGATTAAATGCTTTTTTCCCCTTGAACTGTTCGGGTGGATTTTTCAGTTGGGACTTGGGAGGATGTTGTCCTGATTAGCTTCGCTGGAGAAGATTGGACTGAGCCGGGGATCAATGGGTGGGACAAGATCTGCTCCTGAGTATAAAGGAGCAAAGATCTATGGACAATTTTTATTGGGACTTGTGTTGATCTGCACGATTCATTTTTCCCAAGCGGACACGAATCCTACTGACGGTAATGTTTTTCTCCCTTTTAACTTCCATCATTTTTAATTCATTTGCTAATTGCTGATATGATCTTTGAAGTAACGCGGGAGAATGGGTGGGAATCGACTCGAGATTTACTGAGGGCTCAACTGTTGTTAGCAAACAGGACAGCCTTCTGTATTTTTATTTTTATTTTTATTTTAACGCTAGTGTGAATATTCTTCCTCATCTGGACCAATGAAAGGAGGACTACTGAACTGTGGGTGTGTTGGAACGAGAAAATTATAATAGGAACTTAGGATTCGGTTCCTGATATTTGTGACAATTCCATGTATGATACGAGTGGTCTAAGGGAGTTCTAAAATATGCTTATTGAAACAGTTTCTGCAATAAATAACTTTTATGCTGCGCTGGGCTTCCCTGTTCTCCCTGGGTGGGTTCCAAGTGGGGGAGACCCGTGCGGACAAGCATGGCAAGGCATTCAGTGTAATGGTTCAGATATACAGACAATGTATGGTATCCCATCTTCTTGTTTCTTCTTCATATTGATTGATATCACTCAAAATAGTTGGCTTTCGGTTCCCTTAACAACTTATGATGTCTGACAGAGTTCTGGTTGGTGCAAATTTGGGAGGCGAACTAGGTGATAGCTTGGGAACGTTTGTTTCTATAAAGAAAATGTAATAATGCTCTCCTCTTTCTAGCTGTATTTCTTGGTCTTCGCCCACACAGCATGTTTAAATGTGTATAGTGCACTTTTATGATAAATATATATCTCTTCTGCATTGTCAATATTCTTTTAAACATTTTTTGGGACAGAGATCTAAGCAACAACCACATTGGGGGAAGTATTCCATCCAGCTTGCCAGTCTCCTTGCAAAATTTGTATGTAATACTTACCTTGATAACACTAGAGCTCTTGCCAATAGTTTTGACAATAAGGCATAATTTTCTGTACTATTCTAGTTTTCTTTCAGATAACCAGTTCACTGGAAGTATTCCAACCTCTTTATCTACCTTGACTGAACTGACAGTCATGTGAGTTTTTGTTGCCTCTCCTATTTTTGTATTTATATCCGGTCATTATTGAGGTCAAATTTTATTGTAGTGTTATCTGTAAATAAGATTGAATTATCTCCTTTCAGATCTCTTAATGACAATCAATTATCAGGAGAAATCCCGGACGTATTTCAATCACTTACAAAATTGGTTAATCTGTAAGACCTTATTTTGAATATCATAAGATTATTTGAATGAAGATTGATTACATATTATTTACAATAGACGCTAATGGAGCCGCTAATACTGTTGTCCAGAGATTTATCGAACAACAATTTAAGTGGGGAACTGCCTCCGTCTGCGGAGAATTTGTCAGCTTTGGCCTCCTTGTGAGTATTTGGTCTTGGTAAGACCATATGTATGAACTTACCTCCCAGTTGTGGATCATGTGAACTAACTAACCCCCTTATCGGCAGACATTTGCAGAACAATCAACTATCTGGGACCCTTGATGTTTTACAAGACCTTCCACTGAATGATTTGTACTGCTCCTTGCCTTGACTCATAAATTTAATGATATGATCATTTATATAAATGTCTTTAATATGGATAGGTTTTAGACCTTTGGAATGCCTAAAGTTCTTTTAATTGGTCTTCCTTTTATCCTTTTTTTATTCATGTATTTTCTGCCCTTGTTTGAACAGGAATGTAGAGAACAACCAATTCAATGGACCAATCCCTCAAAAGCTTCTAAGCATCGCAAACTTCAGGTGAAAGCTTCAAACTTTAAAGTATTTTGGTTTCTTATGCTTTAATATGATGAAATTTTGCACTCGAGATAAGAACATGGACATGGCGCTTGTTTTTAGCTGCTTGTGCTGTGTATTTTAATGTTTAATCTTGTGGTTTTAGCCTTCTAAATGTACCAGGTGTTTGGGATGTTTGGTTTAGGATTGACTTCGAAGAATGATTATGTCAACTTGGTCAATGAAGAAGAGTAGTGAATGGTCGGCTGACTTAGAAAAGTGATCATTAGACAATTATATTATGGGCAATAACGAGACCTAAGTTGTATGATCAGGCCAGATATTCTGGTTTTATCATGTGAAGATCTAATGAGAAAAATCAAGTGTCCGAGAGTTGACCGCATTTTCTTGATCTAAGTGTTTCTTTTTTGTTCCTTATGATGAATTTTATAGCATCAGAAATATAAGTAATATATATTTTGTAATATTGTGGCTACATTAACTATTGATGACGTATGTCGTGCAGAAAAGATGGAAACCCATTTAATGTTAATGGCACTACAGCTTCAGCCCCTCCCGCTCGTTCTCCAGCAACAACATCACCAGGAACTGTGGTCTCTGGGGCCCCAACGACTGGACATGTGCCTACCAAACCAGCTGAAGGACCAACTGCATCAAAGGAATCAAGTTCTGGAAAAGCCAAAAAGAGCACCAAAAGGGTGGTTTGGATATCTATTGCAAGTGTATTGGGATTTATTATTTTGGTTTTGGCTCTCCTTCTCTTTACTCCTAGATGTAGTAGAAGGGAAAGGGCTGGCAGAATTTCTAAGCAACATCATATTGGAGCATATGGAGATGACAGACACAATCCTAGGAATCATGGGACTTCAGTCCAACCACTCAGTCAAACTGAGAAAGGCAAACAAATATATTTTTATATCATATTTGGTTGTTCGAAGTAATGATATGCTAAATCTGTTTGTTTTCTAAATTTTTTAAATTTACGTTTGGACAGGACCAAAGGGAGCTGTTCTGAGAACAAAGGAGGATCATCAAGCAGAGACCAGGAGAGTAGAAGCTATACCCAGGTCACAAGATGAGCAAGGCAAAGATGTACGAAGAATGGGAACATTACCCAAGCCGGATGATCATGAGATAGACATGAGTGCACTGGATGTGTACTCATTACCTCCCCCTCCCCCTCCACCTCCGCCTCCACCTCCACCACCCCCTCCACCACCCCCACCACCTAAGGAGAAGGTGACTGCTGAGTCAGTTCCTTTCCCTCGAGGGGCTACGATCAATCCTTCTGCCAAAAAGCCAGTTTCTCCCACTTTTGCAAAATCTTTCACCATTGCATCCCTTCAACAGTATACGAACAGCTTTTCTCAAGATAACCTTATAGGAGGAGGCATGCTGGGGACTGTGTACAGGGCAGAGCTGCCTGATGGGAAGGTATGGTTTTTCTTTATCAAATTCATTGATTTGTATGATTTGTAAAATCGCTTTTTGTTTGTTTCTTTGCGCATGTTGTATGACCTGTCTTACTGTACTCTAATAGCCTTGATATAGCCAGTAAAGCAGACATTAATGTTGTCACTACTTAATAATGAATAATTTTTTAAAGTAAAGAATGCGACTGATACGTTTTCTTTTGCATGTATTCTCTCCGGAAAGGAAAAGGGAAAAACTTTTGGCCAGTCAATACTAGTCATTGTATCATCTCATATGTTGATGTTTAAATGATTCTGAGGTCAAACTCAACATAGAAAGAATAATATATTTGTCCCATGCTTTTTGCTGGGTTGTTCATCTATGATAATTTCTAGGTTAATTTCACGTGTGGAACTTAATTTTTCTTTTTTTTTCCCAATCCCCCCCCGGGCCCCTAAAACAAAAAAAAAGTTGGCAATGCAGTAAATTCATGCGTTGTCCTGTTCTCTTTATGTAAATTTAACTGCTGACATCTTTCAGTTTTATACTTCTTGAAGGACTTGAGGATAAATGTGCAGTGACATTGTTGGTTGATAAATATGGTTACTTATTTTTCACTTTCTCTCTGTCTCTTCTGTTTTTGATAATTTTCTAGTAAATTTTGTGGACCACATGGTAGATTGGTCGATGCGATATTTTGTTGCCTGGGTGTCTTTTCTATGTATTGGACTATCCCAGACTCAGTAAATCTCTGTGTGCATGTCATATTCATATTTTCTATACTTACACAGTTTCTGAATCAATTAATAGCTACTTGCTGTGAAGAAACTGGACAAAAGAGCTTCTGAGCATCAAAAGGATCACGATTTTCTTGAACTGGTAAACAGTATTGACAGAATCAGGCATGCAAATATTGTTGAGCTTATCGGTTACTGTGCTGAGCATGGCCAAAGGCTGCTGATCTATGAGTACTGCAGTAATGGGTCACTGCAGGATGCACTGCATTCAGATGATGAGTTCAAAACAAGATTGTCATGGAATGCTCGCATTCGGATAGCCCTTGGGGCGGCCAGAGCTTTAGAGTAAGTCCAGTAATCATTGACATAGAAGAAAATTGGTCCCAGTTTGTTAATTGCATAGCTCGTAGTGAATTTGAAACTTTCATTTTCAAATTCTGAGTTTTGTTTGAATTTTTAGCTTGTGTCGGTTTTCAGTAGATGCCGGCCATACTTCTAGAAGTTGCTGCAAGATATATCTTCGCATCATCAAGTTTATGCTCCCAATTTGCTATTGATTTCCAAATTCCAAACCACTAAAACATAATATTTATGCATGATACTTCATCATGTGGGTGAAACTCACTTTATGGGCTATGGCACACCGGATGGGTAAATTTTTTAGGTGATTTGATCAGTTCATCTGACATCTATTCCTCTGGTTGTTAAATGTAAGACTTAATTAAGTAATTTGAGTAGATTAATAATGTTAGTTAAATTAGTTAATATTATATATATATATTTTTTCCAAAACATCCTAAACATCTTTCTTAATTTCTTCTCTCCCTCTTCTGCTTGATTATTGTTGGAGAATATGAATAGGGTTTATTTGGGAAAATGGGTAAACATATGAAATAGGTCTTATATATATGATATGTTTTCTTCTTAATTAACTAATTTGAGTAAATTAATGATGTTAGTTAAGTTAGTTAATATGATATGTTTTTTTTCAAAACATCCTAACCATCTTTCTTAATTCCTTCTCTTCCTTTCCTGCTTGATTATTATTGGAGAATATTAATAGGGTTAATTTGGAAAGAATGGGTAAACATATGAAATAGGTTTTGTATATAAGACCAACATTAACTCCGCAATTTGGTCCTATATTAAGGATCGGACAAGTAATTATTAAAAAGTAAAATTAGAGAAGAGAGGAGAAGAGGACAAAGATTACAAGTTTCTGGACACAGCTTCAAATTTGCATTTTGTAAGTACACGTTCATAATCAGTTTTTAGTTTTTCACTTTCTCACTAGCCATTTAATTGAGTTGTTCTAATCCAATCCCTTAATTCTCCTAGAGGTTTTGCACCTTATTTCTCAAGTTTTATTTAGCCAGCTATAAAGTTGTTCTAATTGAGCCCACCGACAACTCTACAAGTTTTTCCGTATGTTGGTCATTATTGTGGGTCTATAATTGCTAGCAAATGCATAAAGGACCAGTTTGACTAATCTTGAAAGTGGGGGTGTCTAATTAGAAGGCCAAATCCATCTGGCTTTTGGCACCAAGATAAAGTTGAAAGATCTCAGTGCCTAATATTAAATCTTCTCTCTGAGCTCTAATATTTGATAGAGGGATGAGGTTTTTCAGGACTTGGGAATGACATTCGTGCAAAAATATAATTGAATGTTGAGGATTTGAAAATTTTTCTGTGTGTGAACATATTTACATTTTACAGACACATAATTTGATGTTCTGAATCTAATACTTGCTGTGGTAATCTGAGAAGGTATTTGCATGAGATCTGCCAGCCACCTGTTGTACACAGAAACTTCAAATCTGCCAATATTCTCCTTGATGATGATCTATCTGTGCGTGTTTCTGATTGTGGTTTGGCTCCCTTGATAACTTCAGGTTCTGTAAGTCAGGTACGATAATACGAGTAATATTTATTATATTTTGCAATGGATGCGGGTTGTCTATGAATATATCTTTGTCTGACTTACTCAAGTCAAGCCTGCTTTGATCATGTGAGACCAGTTTTGGAAATAGGAAATATTGGTTCTCAGTTCTCACCCATACAGATATTCTAACTTGTAATATGGTAATATTAAAAGCTATACACCTTCGTCCTGGAGGCTCCATGGGAGAAGGTGGAAGTAGGAACTAATATTGCACATGCAGATGGATGTCGTGCAGTGCAAAATTCACATTGCTCTTGCATACATAAATAGATAATAGACAAATATACTTAAATGAATATATGTATATGTTAATGTATGTATTGCTCTCAATTGTGCATTTAATTGTAAAATAACTTGAATATGCCCCCGGCTTAAGACATCTTTTCCAATACATAGTAATTGGCAGCCGCAGCAAAATGATGTTTTGGATTCATCAGCTCAAAACATGACTGTCTCTATGAAATAAGGTATTCTGATCCCTGTTAGCCAAGAAGTAATGCTAGATACAGTTGGGGGAAAATGGAGAACGGGGCTGAATTATTACATTCATAGTCATAAAATTAGACGTAAAACATTAAAAATTTTATTTGGATGTTCATCTGAAGTAGTTTGCACTATATCACAGGACTACTTTAAGGAAACATCATTAATGTATCGGAAGTATTTTTCATTTGTAGCAAACTAAAATCGCACCAATCCTTTTCAGCTCTCAGGGAACCTGCTAACAGCTTATGGCTATGGAGCTCCAGAATTTGAGTCCGGAATTTACACACACCAGAGTGATGTGTACAGTTTTGGAGTGGTTATGTTAGAACTATTGACAGGCCGCCAGTCCTATGATAGGTAAGAATGCATAGCTTTAAGTACTCGCTCACCCCCTTTAGAATTTTTCATCCAGCTGGTTTATGCATTTCTGAACATCTTGGACAGGACACGCTCTCGGGGGGAGCAATTTCTAGTTAGATGGGCAATTCCCCAACTACATGACATTGATGCCTTATCAAATATGGTAGATCCTTCTCTCAGTGGAGATTATCCAGCCAAATCATTGTCAAACTTTGCAGACATTATTTCTCAGTGTGTTCAGGTGATATTTCAATGCAACTTTCAAGCTCTCACTACTGTCACTAACTGATTATAGTTACTTGCTACTTTTTTATGTGCCAAAGTTTTATGGGATCTAATTTCCTGGTCTCTATGCATGTACTGCAGTCGGAGCCAGAATTTAGGCCACCTATGTCGGAGGTTGTTCAATACCTACTAGATATGATAAGGAAGGAATCTCACAGAAATGGATCAAATGAAGATTGAGGAAAGTAGCAATATGTTCTCGTAGATGAGTGTGCAGAGATTTACCTCCAGAGTACCAAGATTCAAGAAGTAGTAGTATACATGTCAAATAGTCGCCCCCTTGCTTCTTTGCTTCCAACTACTGACCCATCAAGTATTTATGTCTAGTACGACTGGGAGGAGATTTGTTCAATCAGTTTCAGAGTATTTTATTGGTCGCCAATCCTCCCTCCTCATTCTTGTACTCATACTTAACAATTCTATATATATATAGTTCCTTAAAACCTTGCCATAATCATGTTTGTATTGCACAGAAACTAGAATTCACTAACCCCATTTTTGTTTCATAGTTGTTTCCAAATATTTGGTGATGAAATGTAATTTCATTGTGCATTCATTTGATTCCGTGTTCAGCTCTGAAAAGTGACACGTAATTCGATAGTTTGCATTGTAATGATAGATTTACTTACGTTGGATTGAACATTGCTTTTGGACTACGGTGTTGGTTTAATTATGGATTTACCCGTAAAAACAAATTGTAGTTGGCAATTGCCGATTATACTATGTATTCTCTCTGTGTCCTTTTGGGTTTACAAACAATTACAAATTATGCAAAAAGGGACCATCCTCCCTGTCGTAGTTGAGACCAGGAACAGGAACTATGTAATGTGTGTTGTATTATTTGGATAGAAATCAAATCATGGTTTCAAAAGTATTTTTACGGTTTACGAAGTAAATATATGGAGGAGTTTGTTTTGTTTTACAGAAAAATGCTTCTGAGAAGCATTTTTTAGGGTTACCCAACATCCCCTAAATTGTGATAGAGAATATCCGGTGCTGCGCTGCGTGACGTTCCATGCGGAATCGAAAAGGGCAAAACCCCTTGCTCCCAAGAGAAATGGGTTGGCCCATGGAATTGATTGATGTTTTGTCATTCGGGTAAATTACGCCAACTAGCCTTAAAATTTGTTTATAATAATTTGTTCGTGTTTTAAAACCAGCATGGAATATTTTCCCACGAAATTGTGAGCTTTACCAATACGTTACGATAAAGTTTCAATCGAATTGATAATGACCTCAAGCAGATCCGATTGATAATTAAGACATTTTTTTTTTGGTAAAGAGGAGGGCTTAGCCCATTACAAAGAAAAGCTACACATGAGGGGATAGAGATCCCATATAATCTTGGTGCACAAGGGCCCTCAGCGAGTCTGGGACCGTATCAATAAAAACAAAACTATGTACCCTACTGAGGCCATCCTTCGCAAGCCTATCAGCAACTTTGTTGGTATCTCTTGGTGTATATTGAAACTGTATACTCCAGTTCCTTTTCCTCATCTCGACAATCAAAGTCCAAACCGAAGAGAAGTTCCCTCTTTCAACTGGGTGTTTGATAATTAAGACATTTTGATCGAACTGTAGTCATAGTCTTTGATATCCCGGGCCCAACAAAAAAAAAAGAATCATTGTCGTTGTTAGGAAAAATCATAATAGTACCTGACAGTGCCTCAAATAGGATTATTTTTAATAGGAGGATACCTATATTTAGTTAAAAAAAATCACAGTAGTTAGCAAAAAAAGAAAAACGAAAAACGAAAAAAACAACAAAACGTCACTTTTGGGTAGTCAAAAAATATTATCCTTCGTAAGATTTCAGTTAACAAAATTAGTAAACAAATTAATTAAATTTAAATAATACTTAATTAAGATTTAAAAATAAAATTCTAAGATTAATAAAAAGAAAATAACATAAAAGACGTGAGTAAAATTTATAATCATGTCAAATGATTAAAACAAAATCAAGAGAAAATTACTCATAGAATGTCAGAAAATCAAATACAAAGAAGTCTCTAAAAATTTATATTTATAATTCAAAGTTCGAACTTACATGTTTAGTTTTAAAAATTAAAATTTTATATTTATAAGTGAAACTTATTATACTTGTAAAAAATAAATTTTGAGGCATTTCTGTATTAATTTATTTTATTTAGGACTTATAAATAATTTTTCTTAAAATTGTAATGAAGTTATATTTTTGTTTAAATAAATACTCTACATTTTATCCAGCCAGCGGTTCTAAAATGCGCGTTTACTCTACATCTACTGTGCGGGGAGAATCAAATTATCTCCGTTCACGCGCGAACGGAACACCCCTCATCCTTTTGCTTTTCAGTTACCCACTAATCAAAACAAGACCTTCAACAGAAGCCATCTGGTCCAAACCTTCTCTGATTCTGCCACACCCTTACGCCAATCGGCGGCAACAAGAACCGCAATTTCAGGAATCGTCTCTTCATCCTTCTTACCAACCCGAAGTTTCCTTATCCTTTTTATTTAGATCCATTTGGTTTTTGCTTAGTCTTATTGTTTAGATCTATTTTTCTCTGGTCCAATGAGTCGGTACGATTCGAATCCTTTCGAGGAAGAAGAGGTCAATCCCTTCGCGGTAAGTTCGTGGCTAAATCTACCGTTTTCGCATTCAAATCTTGTAGCTCAACTTGATGTGTCTGATTCCCTTGAGTGTGATCTATGAGGTTGCAAGTGCATTGAGTTTATTGTTTATGTGATGATTGTTGATGCGCGTTAACTGATGGTTTCCATTTCTGTTTGGCTGGATGTCGCTATGTCAGATCCCTTTGTTGTTTTCTAGATATTGGTGAATTGAAATTCACAATGTAGCTTAACAGGCGATGCTTCCTGCACCTGCGGGATGCTCGTTCGTCTGCTGCCAAATCCAGAAAAACAGAAGTATAAATATTATGGTCTGTAGGTGGTGTGTTAAACTGGAAACTTGAGGATATGTATATTTCTTCGGATCATAATAGCTTCCTTCTCAAGATTGCTCGCTAGTTACTAAAATCATCGAGGATTGAGTAACTGCATCCTACCATTAATGTTTGAATAATAGAATAAAAGCCTGAGAGCGATTTCTTGACTGTTTTCTCTTCATCTTTATCTTTTTTTTAAATGATTTTATGGATATGTCTATCATCTATTGTCTATATATGTGTGTGTGTGTGTGTGTGTGTGTGTGCAGTAAATCAAAAGTTTGCATTGCCATATATTGATTATTTAGGCATTGAGGAAATGAAATTTAATTCAACAAATGAACATGCAAAAAGGCTTTAGAATTCAAAAGTCTGAAAAATTTTCTGAACAAAGTCTGAAAAATTTTATGTTTTTTTATGGAAGACCAAAAGTTTGCATTACAGGCTGAACAATATTGAAATTTTTAGGTTTTTACTACGTGCCTCTTGGAGAATTGGAACAAATTGTCTTCAGCATGATTAATGTAATCAGTGAATTATTTAGACATTGGGAAAATGAAATTTAAGTCAGAGAATGAATGTACACAAAACCTGTTAGAATTCACAAGACTGAAGAATCATTTAAACACTATCGTCAAAATTGTAACTTACAGATGTGCTACCTTACATTACTTTTAAAAACTAAACACGCATCCATTTTCATCAATGTTTAGGATGGAGCAGGTAAAGGAAAAGGACAATCAACCTATAGTGGAGGTGCATTTTATATGACCGTAAGCTTTCTCTTTCCTATCATGGGTACAATTTCCTTAAGATATAACGATTTATGTTATCATATTTTAACTGGAAAGAGAGAAGTAACGTGGTGCTGGTAACTGGCCTATATGGTTGGAAAGATTCTACTGCATATCCATGATCTTGGACTTCCTCCATTCCTTCTTGTGGAGCTTAGATCCTTTCAATACTTTTTACCAGCTTTATAACTTTGGACCCCGCCCTGCCCCCGCCCCCGGGGGGTTCTTCCCTTCTGATCCGTACACTTTGCCTTCAGAATATTTTAACTTGGAAATAATTCATTCGCTCACGCCTTCTTATATGATCTCTTTAATTAGTATCCTTCCCAAGTTCCTTTGAGATCAACGACCTAGTAACCATGCCAATCCACATTTTGCAGTCACTACGGGTGGGTTAAAGCAGATCACAATAAACTTGCACAAGGGCCAGGAGGACTAAATTTTCAACCGATTTACTTTGTCTGGCTATGTCATTGTTATTAAATCATCAAATCGATTTTCTTAAATGGATTATGGACCATAATGAAAGATGAACCTCTCCCCCCCCCCCCAAAACAAAAAAAAAATATTTCCTTTCTTTTTGTATGTGGACAGGAGAAGTGTTTTGGGGAGGTAACTTGATGTAGGTTGCCACTGTTTTGCAAGTTTCTATGTTTGTCTCTCGTTATTTGTCTCTATATTTTTCTTATGATTTTCCAACCACATGCTTATTGGTTCATTACCATTACTAATTCTTGCTTATTTTCTCAGAACTCCGCAACTGTCCCTTCTGCAGCATCTAAGCTCTCGCCCCTTCCTCCTGAGCCTTATGATCGTGGGGCAACTATTGATATTCCTCTAGATTCCTCAAAGGTAAAAGAAGTTTTAAACATTGAGCTTAATGTCAAAATGGTTCTATTTAAAAGTCCTTAATGGCATAGATTTACTTATTTTCTTATCATCTTCAGGATGTAAAAGCAAGAGAGAAGGAGCTTCAAGCTAAAGAAGCGGAATTGAAAAGAAGGGAACAGGTGATTTATCCTGCCATCTTCATTTGATAGCATTTAAAGAAGTGTTAGTGTTAGAAAATGATTGTTGCTATGTTAGATTCAATGATTTTGTTTGTTTTTCCTCAGTGTGGTGGTGCCTATGAAATTATGATGATTTTAGCAATTCTAAGTTCAAATCTAGTGACCTGATTGGGTGGTAATGGTGGTCCACAGAAATGCCAAATGGCATTGCCTTTTTCATTTTTACTATTTGATATTAGTAAACGGATGTTCCTTCTGTTGAGTATTGAGATTAACACATTGATGGACCACCATTTTAGAATTTTTAGTGCCATGCCTGCTCTCTGTTATCTTGTTATAAGTTGGTCTGGTCATTCTGCATGTACAATGTCTTCTGTCTGTCAGATAATTAATGAGCTCATGGCCTTTTCAGGAACTAAAACGAAGAGAAGATGCTATAGCCCGAGGTATGTAAGCTTATTCATTCTTACGGAAGCCTACTGGAAACATGTCTGTGGTATGACAATTTTTTTTTTTTAAGCAAAGTGTTGTGACAATAATCTTCTGTTTTTTTTTTTTTTGGCTCAGCTGGTATAGTTATAGAGGAGAAAAATTGGCCACCTTTCTTCCCGATCATTCATCATGACATTGCAAGGGAAATACCAATACATCTGCAGAAGGTTCAGTACGTTGCATTCACAACATTTTTAGGTATCTTTGAGTAGTTTGTATTAGATACTACCTACTTGCTGATAATTGATACTATATTAATTATGATGTGTTATTTTTTAATTAAAAGAACTTCTTTATGAGAGTTTATTTTTATCCGTCCATAATTTTATTTTTTAATTTAACGAGCACAAATTTGGGTTGATGGGAGCTACATCTTGGCTAGATAATTTGGTCTTTCAGTGCATCCTCGTGTAATTCTTTGTCAAGTTTTGGAATCTGTTTTAGGGAATTGTTATTTCCATCTTCCATTATTGACATGTTGACCC